AACGAGTCCCATATGCAAAATCAAACTTCTCATAAACAGAAATTGCTCCAGTGAAACTTGGAAACAAGAAACTCACCAGTCCCTTGTCCTGGCCGGCCTCCTCCAACTTGCCCTGCTGCTTCAAGACAAAGGCCAAGTTGTGCACCGAGAGGAGCGTGTCGGGGTGTTGGGCTCCCAGTTGGGACTCGCGGCCTTCCAAGGATCGGTGGTAGAGACCTTCTGCCTCGCGGCTCGAGATGGAGCACTGAGGTGTGGAAACATGAGAAGAGCCCCAGCTCAGGCCCCCTGGGTCATGGAAAGGGAAGAATAAGCCAACAAAGGCCACCATTTTTGGACTATGGTGAGAACATACATGAACATACTATTCCAAGCGCTCGTCAAGCACTCTTTGAACTCACGGGATGCCAAGAAGCATCAATTTACTCAATTTACTCACAGTGTTTGCTCACATTGCTGGCCCGCTCTCACGAAACAACCCTCGGGCGACCACGGACAAGGCTACGGCTCGGATGATCGGTCATCATCTCAAACATTGTCAAACGCCCTCGAAAATAATCAACGGATTAAAATTGCTAAGGGCCTCGAAAAGCCCTGCCGAGCATGTAGGCAAGCTAGATGTGGCTAGATTGCATATAACAAGAAATACTCCCTTCACAGGTTCAGCTGAACTGGTGATGCTGTCACCGTCAAACAGGTGCCTATGCGGCCAACTAAGATCATACATCTCACAAGAATTTACAAACTTCAAAAGCCAATAGGGATGTTGAGGCTGTACCTGTTGGCAACCTTTTGGCAAGCTGCGTTTTTTTTCAGCGTTTTGAAGACTCTTCGCAAACCACTTTAACGTGCCAATTCACGTTCATAGCTTCAGACTTTCACAGATTCCTCACACAAACAACTGACACACAATCATTCCCATCTAGCTGATTTTGATCCTGCTGGGGGTACGTCACACTCCTGGGGCAGTCATTGCCCGCTTTCGTCATCGTTCTCAAATCAATAAACTGTATATGTGGCCTCCGTCGCCCATTTGGAAATATGCTGCATGCGTTTTGTCGTGATCCGGAAACTCTTGCACATAGAATCAAGAGTCTGGGTTAAATCCATTGAAGAGGTGTTGGTATCGTCGGGAAGGGTCTTACAAACAGCCTTGGCTGACTGATTTTGTAAACACAAAAATCTAGGGCGTGTGTTGAACTGCGCCAAATTAGTATTGACATCACTCATCATCATTATGCTGTTGTGTTTCCTAGTGTGAAGTCACAAGCCGTACAGTTCTCTTTTGCCTAACAAACCCCAAAGATTCTTCAGAGTCTTGAGGTGATGAAACTCGTTGAAAGGAGCTTGTACTTTTCTTAGCTTTCCGCTGAGCCTTCATAGTTTGACTCTCGGGAATTGGAGGACAGATCCTTGGCATCAACCCTGATGCACATTGCATGTATGGATTTCATGCGCAGGCAATTCAACCAATGAATTTGGGCGAAACTTAGGAAATGCCCAAATTGGAGACATGGAAGGGTCCACTCTTCCACTCTTGCTTATACTTCAAAAAAAGCGCCTTCCCTTGGAACTTCCACGGGGAAGGTCTCCTTTCTACCCCCGACCTCGGCCTGGCCTCTTCCAATTTGCCTTGCGACTCGAGGATCATAGCGAGAACGTTCACGGAGATTAGCGTGTTGGGATGGCTCGCTCCCAGCTGCGCTTCAAACCCTGCGAGCGCTTTGCGTTGCAGTTCTTCAGCCTGGCGGCTCGAGGTGGCGCCGCTGCGGCACTACAAACTAGCAACGTAAGTGTCAGGCAATTTGTGTAGTCACTGCGGTATGCAAACTACCATATACAGTGTATATATATATACATGACTATATATGTAAATCTCCATATATCAATATCAATCGCACAGCTTTCGTGGGTTGCCAGCTGCAACCAAGAAACGAGTGGGAACAGTATGGGGGTCCTGCAGATGTCATACTTTCATTCAGCATGCGCCTATATAGATATATTTATACTATAGCCATCTATAGGCCTAATTTGCAAGAATTCACCGGAAAGATTTGACAGCTTTGCCATGTGTTCATTTTGCCGATTATGAAATGTGGATGGGGGTCCCAACGATGTATTACGCCCAAAAAAGGTAATGCAGCAATATTGGGAAATTGACAAGAGAAAATCCAGGCCTCAGGCCTTGGCCAAACAAAAATATGCCCTTGGTGAAACGTCCAGTAAGGTCACCTCTCACCCCAAAGACCCTCAGCCCCGCCTCCTCCAGCTTCCCCTGCTGCCGCAGGAGCAGCGCCAGGTTGTTCATGGATCCAAGCGTGTCCGGATGATTCGCGCCGAGGTGCGCTTCCCTCCCTGCAAGAGCTCGGCGATGCAGGGCCTCCGCCTGGCGTCTTGGGATGATGGCGTCGGTGGTGTGGGGCCCCAGGCCTGGATCTGCCTGTGAGTACTATGTGACCATGTGGGACAGGAAGAAAGATGAACAATGGCTTTGTGTTTGGATTGATGAAAAAGACGTCAAATACAATTGTGCCATGTAAGATGCACACATAATTCAAAGCTGATTCAAAGCTTGAAGAATAAAACACAAAAAGGTCGATGAGTTGACATGTTCAACAAAATTTGGATGTGAGTCATCTTCGTCCCAATCTTCCATTTGCAAATAAACTCCAACCTCAGAGTGCATCTGTTCTGTGTTTTTTTGGCAAAAACGCTTTGACAGCTTCAGACATCTCAGACTGAAACTTGCAACGCGGCATCTGTTCTTTGCAAACATCTTTTGCTAAACTTTGACATGTCCATGTTTTGGCACGTCCATACATGACGTGATTTGAGATGATTTGAAATGATTTGCGTAAAATTGACATGTTCATGCATTATCGCACTTCTACATAGATGACAATTCTGAGATGATCTGAAAATGCGGTGATTGTTTTCCTGCCATTTTCCCCAACTTTTCCTAACACAAAATGAAGCACCATCCATCCGCCACGGTGTTTGCAGCACAGCGCATCAGCGGCGCCTCGCTAAACTTCCCCAGGCGCTCCAGCACCGACGCCAAGTTGTTCACCGCGATGAGCGTCTCGCGGTGCTCGGGGCCCAGGCGCCGCTCCGTGGCCTCCAGGAATCGGCGCTGCAGCGGCTCGGCCTCGGCGAAGGCGCCGCGGTCCTCCAGCACATACGCGAGCCTCAGCCGTGGAGCGCCACGGGAGCCGAAAAGTTCCCACGGCTCCGTGGGGGAGAGAGGGCACTTTTTTTACTAGTTGTGGTGTCGTGGCATATTTCTGGATCCAAATCTCTGGTGAGAAAACAAGAAATTCTGGGATTCGAATTGTTTTGATTACGCTTGAGCAGTTGCTATAGGCTATACTGATTGATGCTATTTGATGCTTGTTGTAAATACTGTTGCCTACTGCAATCTACAGCTTTCACTTTTGCGGCTTTGCGGCATTTCTGGATGCAAATCTCTGGTGACAAGACAATGTACAGTTCTTGACTCAACAATACATGTTTGCTAATGTGTTCGTCTCTTTGGAGGGACTGAGGTCCGCACCGATTCAGTGCCAAAAGCGCTTTGTCAGGGCCCAATCTTTCGGCTGTGGCATCTGCACGGCAACGCAGCCTTGGTTCATGATGATGCCTATCACATGGCTGCGCCTATCACATGGCAATGCGGTGGTCGACCATGTCACCAACATGGAAGACAAATCAAGTTCAAGAGAATGGCCAACGGCACGCAAAATCATCAAGGTGTGGGACGGCTCCCGGCTTCAGTCAGAAGCTGGCTACTGGGCTGCTGGCTACTGGGCTGCAATCCATGGTCCCTGCTTTGCGGGATCTTCAACCATACGTTTTTGCGCGTGAGGGTGGGGGAGGCCAGGTTTTTTGAAATTGGCAGACGTTTGTCCTAAATGGAGCGGGTAATTCAAGTCAACTCATAGCATAGTCAATAGACATGGCATAGACGAATATAGCCGATAGATACTATAAAACTCGAAGTGGGCCGTACTCAAGAAATCTCAGAAGGCAATGTCGCGCGGGCACTCCTGAAAGAGTTTCAAAGTTCCACGCCTTCTCCACATCTTAAAGTGAATGGTCAGGTGGCAAGATCAAACATCAAGCGATTCTGCTCCATGCCTTTACTCCCAGATACTTTCAAATGCAGGACAAGGAGCCCGAGCCAGGACAAACGGTGTTTTTTATCTTGCGGTGTACCTTTCTAGATCTGGAGTCTGGAGTGCAAAATATTGGATTGACAAGCGCACACGCTCTCGAAACAGAGCTTGAGCTTCGTGCTTTCTGTTTGGTATCCATCCTTCCACGACCATGATACTTTGGTAACTTTGATATACTTTGACCCACAGGAGAGGTTCCGTAAACTTGCCAGGGAGTGACGTGACCAGAGATCCCGGAAGAAGGAAAGGCAAAACGAGAGCAAGAGAGCAGCGGAAACAGTCCGCAGGGCTGCATCAAAAACAAATGTTGAAATCATGCTGGTTCTGGTCCAAATCGACCGAAGGGACCAGTGTGCATCTCGAACTTGATAATTCATCATGGATCCTTTTTCCAATAGAAGTTTGAACTCGCCCCACCTTATTTAACCCTACTGGACGAATCCTAACCCCTGGATATGGCAAGCTCAAAGGAACAAAACCCCTGGATTGAACGGCCGTAACCCTGGATGGTTAGCCGAGTTCCAAGCCCTGAAAGCAGCCAAGTTTCGTGTCCAGCAGCACTGCGCTGGCGTGGCCCACTTCCTCCTCTCTTTCCACCCTGATCACCACGCACTGCCTCTCTGGCTGAACAGGTTCATTGAGCAGCTTTCCTGCCAGGTTCCTGGGCAGCGGACTTGAAAGCAATGTGTGAGTCATTGCTCTATCAACAACTTTCATATGAAGCACTCAGGTACTGGGTCCCGGACACGCCGGGAAGCTTGCCCTAACGGTGCAGAGCAAACATGAGTCAGATGGTTCCGCATGTGTCCATACAAAATCGATTCAGCTCCGGGCAAAGCACACAAATGCTACCCGATGCTACCAGCCTCCTTCTGCATCTCCGGCGTCTGTTGAATCGAAACGTCGTATGTGACGGCGGCGTTGGCCAATATTGGTATGCAATAGGCCACGCGCGAGGCGTACTCCTCCATGACTGGATCTAGGTCTGTTAATCTGCAAACACTGACGATGTGCACATCCAAAAATTGAAACAAAACTGTGGGCAATGTTGCGCCTAAGAAAGGCACACTCTCCTCGTCCGCGGCCTCGCGGCCTTTCGTTTTCACGTCTCTCGCGTGCATGTTGCGGTAATTGTTGTCGATCAGCGTTGCCACATCTGGCCAGTCATCGGGCGCTCTTCGCACGCTATAAACTCCTCATCAGAATTGTTTGCAGTGGACACAAAGGTCCAAGGACATCTCTCAGTCAGAGAGAAACAAAGCACTTAAGCGTCCTGCTGTGCACAACCACAGACGGTGAAGCAAATGCTCACGTTTTGTCAGTTGTGATACAGCAGCTGCAAAATAATGGACGCGCATCCGTGACTGACCTTGCCTTTTCCCCACCATGCATTGGCGTTCGGACCGCTGGTCATCAAAGAGGCCTTCGGATGCTCAAGGCTATGGCCATCGGCAAGGTGAGCGGGCAAAAAGACGCATGTCACATGACATCACATGACATGTTGATTGGTGACTGAGTGCAGCACGAAGACTTCAACGGCTTTCTTCTGTGGAGCCGTAATGTTTCGGAACCCCAACTGAGTCGTGTAATGAAAGAAGCACTCGACTTCGCAACTTCCACCGGACTGAGTCAGGTCCAGGGCATCCTGCCACACCTGCCAGGAGCTGCTGCTGGGGTTGCACCGAGTCTGCTGCGTCACAACGTGGCGTGACGAAACGGGTCTAATGGCGACGGTCGCGTGCCTTGATGCCAGAGCTCTTGTGGATCCAGCACCATTCGTCGGGATGGTGCTCGTAGGCCTCGTGCTGAAAGACACCGCCTCCTTTGTAGTCCTTCAGGAAGTAGTCCCTGAGGCTGGCCTGAGGCATTGTGTGCGTTTCGGGAAACTGAAGTAAATTGCTAAATGTCCATGCAGCTGCCTGGATTCCAAAAAAGGTCCGATGTTTCGACTGGAAACAATCTCACTGGATTATACTGTTCATGGCAAAATGGGCCATAATAGGCCCTCAGTTGAATCAGTACAAGAGCTCCCGACAATCAAGACACTGGAAGACACACATCGAAAATGTCCACTTTGATTCGCACAACAGCAGCTGTCAAACACAAAGATCATGAACATCGGAGGTTCAATGGGCAAAAAACGAAATCATTGGATTTGTGATTCGTAAGAATGGGACGGTTCTTGAAATCTGAATACTGAATACTTGAAAAGCCGCAAGTGTTGAGGACTAGATAGAAGTCCACTCAGGGGCTCGGCTGCAGCAAAAATTCGTAAAGCGGAGATCGTTCAAAACTGTGTTTGTCCAATGCACCTCGGGCACATCAGAAGACTCACCCGCAGCCCCTGCTCTGATGTCATCCCGCTGTGCCTCGCTCGCAGAACATCAAGACTGTCAAGACTCTTCCGCTGCACTTATGTAATGCAATTCTAACAAGCACTCTTGCACTAGCAAGAAATGCGTTGGTGTTTTATGTAAGTTTGATAAAGACTGGACGTTGAAAGGTTGGGTTGATGAACTATGATGAACTCATTCCGGGCTATGGCCTCCACCACTTCAATCTCTCTGGGGTCGAAATCAGCCTGCTCAACAACAAAGCATCCAAACAGGTCCTTCCTGTTCATAGCACAAGGACTGCAAATCCTCTGGAAGTGTCCAATTTGCGATTCAAATGCTGCGCAAGAGTCAGAGGTGAGAATGCACGTCTAGACCCTAGATATCATATCTGGACACCATGGGGATGTCAAACAAAAGCAGGCAACTGTGCCCAGTGATATGAGCCTCGGTCTCCACTTTGATTGCCGGCCCTTCCCTTGATGTGGAGGGCTGGTCCATCTGCACCTCGCAAGAAAGGCATCTGCGACGCTGAGAAAACTCATTTGGTTCGCAATAAGAAGAGCAATCTCCATCAGTGATTGACACGTTTCCAAGTTGCAACTGAACGGCTCCAGGAATTGGTGCGTAACAAATGAATTTGTTGGAAGCAAATATAGATTTGAATATGTACATATATAATGACGATAAATGAATAATCATTAATCAATTTGTACCTGTGTAATGTCTCTAATGTCTCAGTACATCTGACACTTTTTTGGGTGCTATACTATATATATATATAATAATTATATATATATATATTATAATTATATATATATTACATCCAAGTCTGAGGTGGCCATGGTTTCAGGATGTAGCCTCCACCACTTCAATCCCTCCTGGATCCATGTCAGCCTGCTCAAGACAAGAACTTTCACACAGGTCTTGTTCACAACGCATCCACAGGAAATCCACTAGAAAGCGGCCCAGTTGGATGGCAGAATCCGATTTGGTATACATAGCGGTGCAATGCCGCAACAGTGACGGACGACGCAGCACCTACAGACCTAGATAATAGATATCCTATCTTTGGATACCACGAGAGCGTCAGACAAAGCAATTGAGCCTCGGTCTTCGCATTGGTTCCACGTTCCGCCCTTGATGTGGAGGGCTGGTCCATCTGCGCCTTGCAGGAAAGGCATCTGCGAAGCTGAGAAAATTTGTTCGACTTGCAAAAAGACTGGCACGCTCTATCAGCGGTTGACACGTTTCCAAGTTGCAACTGAACGCTGCAGGAATTCACGCGAAAGTGCCATTCGCTGTCGTTTCCTGCCTCCGTCTGGGCAGCCAAAGGGCTATCGAAGTTGCTCGCTGCGAACGGCGACATGTCCTCGAAGCAATCGACAGCCAGTGAACTCGTTGGAAACAGATAGATTTGAACATATATATAGATATAATTATGATCAATCAATATACCATGCTTATCGTGACTTTTTCGGTTATTTCTGGTACGGTGACAGTTTGCATGATTTCCTGAAGGCTTCAGGATTTGATGCGCGTGCAAATGACATCCAAAAACACACGTCCTGCATCCATGTCGTAAGCCAAACCCATCACACTCTCAGGCTGGGATATCTCGGACCGGACTGGAATTCCTGGTCTCCCGCCTCCGCCTGGGAAGTTCTCGCACCACAGCAGCCCATCGTGACAACCTCGAGCAGCGCCATGCTTCAATCCTTCGATCAGCAAACTGCACCAGAAAAGAACCAGTGGCCCCGGCTGAGGCCAAGGCCAAACGCGATCGAAACGGGTTCTGCTTGGCGGTCCCACGAGCCCTAGCCCTTGCCCTGGCCTCGAGGCAATTAGCAGCCACTCATGAGGACAGCACAAGCACCGCAAGCACCGGGTTTCTTATCAAATTCTGAGCTTTTTCGAAGACATTCCCCAAATAAAACTCAAAGCTCAATAGGATGATAAAGTCAACCGGCGCGTCTATTCCCATTCAAGCACGCCATCTGAAATGCGCGCATCTTCTAGGGCTCTGATTCCCACCCGGAACCTTTCAATCGATCTTTCGAATACAGCCCTATGCGATACTACCTGCTCTGCAAAGACGGTTCTGATGCACCTTGACTGGGCACCCCCGGCTGACGCAGGGACCGGAAGGCAGGAGGTGCAATGGCAAACCGGGCGCTTGGCAGTGCAAGCCTGTGAGAACCTTGTTTGAACGCTGGATCCAGACATGTTGAAGCTTTGAAGGGGGAAATCCCCACCCAACGCAAATGTCTGACTTCCTTAAATCTGCTGGTTAACTGGCGATGCAGCATTTGATTGAACGGAAAAAAAGAAGGACGCTATCTATAGTTTGTTCCATTCACATGGCTTGTTAAAGTTGATGCAAGAGTGCGTGTGGTGGACTGTTTACGCAAAGTGTGTGCAACCCATGTGACATCTAACATGCACCCAGCAGCAGCTTGCAGAGATTCATGTGAAAATCCAATTTTGGTCAAATCTTCTTGGACTTCTGATTGGTTTCCACCGGGTTCCCTCGATACATGCGTCAACTAATGTGATTCCAACGGGTTTCGTCAGTAGATGTCGGTGGTCGTTGTCTATATGGAGCATTTGCGATGCATGCGCTTGCAGGGTGCAAGCTTCTGTCAGGCTGCTTAAAATGCTGCGGGACATCATCAGTAAAGTGAAGATGTTTGCTGGCTAGCGCAGTCCTGGCACTGTTCTCCTCCTGAAGTGCTGTTCTTCCTTGGCTCTTTGAGTCTTTGTTTTTTTCCTGGACTTCCTGGAGTGCTGTTCTTCCTTGACTTTTTGGGACTGCTACAAGTTATTCGTCTTCGATTTCCGGGCAGATCTTTTTCGATGACTCGGGTTCACGTCCTCAGATGCCACAACGCCGCTTTTGGGCCTTCAAGGTGAGGAGACGGCGTCAAAGTGGGAGATGGGCCTGGCACCGCCAAGGGCTCTTTAATGATTAAGAATCTAATTTAATCCAAGTCTTCAAAGTATTTGTAACTATAATACCCATGTGATCTCGATAGTTCAAAAGATAACTTTTGGAACCTAAATCAAAGCTCACCGTTGATGCCTCTTCAAATCCATATCAAATCTGGACAGCATCTCTGATGAGGTGGGCCAGGAAGGCGCCTTCGCCCAGTGACGAAGGCCAAGCGCACCGCCTGGCTGCAAGGATGGACATATTCTTTTTGCATCTGTTTGCTTCAGTGCAGAAGCGCTTGGATGAAGCTGAAATAGCATCCCAATGGATCCACCATTTCCATGGCCTGCCATTTTGGCAGATTCAATCCCCATGGCTGGTCGGAAACTCTAATGTTTGGCAGATTCAATCCCAAGTATGGATGGAAAGTGGAAAATATGAGTTAAACCACTAACCAGTTAATAATTGCAGCGTTTTTCCGCCCTACTCCAACAGACAGAAGAAAAATACCCCTGCAATTTAAAGGGTGGTTAGCCACCTCAAAAAACGAGATAAGACTGTAAGACTCGAGTGATCTGTTCCCATACATTTGGCACTGGATCGAACAGCCGAACAAGTCGATCTTCGTGGCCTCTACACAGGCGCCTCCATGAACACATCTGAGTTTCCTCCTGGTGCCGTGAAACTGCTGGGGTCATGCAGAGTTTTTGCTTTCCGACTCGTTGCAGAGACTTGTTCACTTGGTTCGGTGGAAGGCGATCGTTTCTTGTCGTGAAAATATCAAATTCAAAATAGCTATGTGTCCTATCGGGTACGCTGGTAATATGTACGAACTTCCTAAGCAAAATATGAAGTTCTAGTTCTAGTCACTGGCCCTGATCAATTACCAAAAATAATAGTTTTGGCAACCTATCGATTATGGGTCCTAAAAGGTCCAAAATAGTTTCCATATCTCCAGGCTGAGGCAGCATTTCTAAATTATTTTGCAGGGTCGGGATATACAGCCAAAGCCAAGTGAAAAAGTCAGGAGCCCTGAAAATAATTTTGAATATGTTTCGGACTGTTTTTTCTTCATCCAGAAAAATGTCAAAAGGGTTTTCAAAGTTCAGAGCGTCTTTTCCAAAACTTGGACGAACAAAACAAGGGGTTGACATTGAGAACATCTGCCATCATCTATTTCAGGGGCAATATGTCAAACAAAAAGGATTCAATGTTGACAAAATCTTTGACAGAAAAGGCATCCATGTGGGGAGCATCATGTGAAACAAGAAAAGGTTTCGCATTAAGAACAGTTGTCACAAAAGGCATCCATGTTGGGGGCATTGTGTCAAACAAAAGAAGGTTCAATGTTGACAACATCTTTGACATGAAAGGCATTGGTTTTGGGGGCATCAGGTTTCAACAAAAAATAGGTTTCACGCTGAGAATTAAGAAGTCTTTGCTGAAAGGCATCCATTTCGGGGGGATTTTGCTTTAAAAGAACTGGCTTCACATTGAAAACATCTTTCATAAAGGCATCCAATTTGGGGGCATTGTGTCAAACAAAAAAAGGTTCAAAGTTCCATGTTGACAACATCTTTGACATGAAAGGCATTGGTTTTGGGGGCATCAGGTTTCAACAAAAAATAGGTTTTACGCTGAGAATTAAAAAGTCTTTGCTAAAAGGCATCCATTTCGAGGGCATTTTGCTTTAAAAGAACTGGCTTCACATTGAGAACATCTTTCATAAAGGCATCCATGTTGGGGGCATTGTGTCAAACAAAAGAAGGTTCAATGTTGACAACATCTTTGACATGAAAGGCATTGGTTCTGGGGGCATCAGGTTTCAACAAAAAATAGGTTTCACGCTGAGAATTAAAAAGTCTTTGCTGAACGGCATCCATTTCGGGCGCATTTTGCTGTAAAAGAACTGGCTTCACATCTTTCGTAAAGGCATCCATTTTGGGGGCATTGTGTCAAACAAAAAAGGTTCAATGTTGACAACATCTTTGACATGAAAGGCATTGGTTTTGGGGGCATCAGGTTTCAACAAAAAATCGGTTTCACGCTGAGAATTAAAAAGTCTTTGCTGAAAGGCATCCATTTCGGGTGCATTTTGCTTTAAAAGAACTGGCTTCACATGGAGACCATCTTTCATAAAGGCATCCATTTTGGGGGCACTGTGTCAAACAAAAAAGGCTCAATGTTGACAACATCTTTGACATGAAAGGCATTGGTTTTGGGGGCATCAGGTTTCAACAAAAAATTGGTTTCACGCTGAGAATTAAAAAGTCTTTGCTGAAAGGCATCCATTTCGAGGGCATTTTGCTTT